ATGTGGGGGTCCTGGGTGGATTAATGGAGTCAAGTGAGGCAAATTAAATATTTGTAAGTAATCTACTTCATATAGCCCCTCTTTATGTGTTCATTTTACCTAGCATGTAATGTACTGGAAAAGAGAACTTGAGGAACTATAAATCTACGGCACTCCTATTGCGTATCAATTACCACAGTTTTCCTTTGAATTCAATGGCATACAGGGGCCTTTTTTCAACAGATTATTTCATCTCATTTCTATATTGGGGATACCAGATGCATGTATTTTACACTTAGGAATTGTTACCTGTGTGCGTACTTTATAGCATCTAACTCATATTGCCCCGTCATAAAAAGAAAAAGGAAAATCCTTAGGATGAAGAAGAAAAAAGGTCACTGGAAAGAAGATTAAAAATTTCGTGACACATTTTAGAGCACGCATGCAACAACACGATGTGCCAAAGGCTAGCTGCAATCACTGTCATCTATTTGTTCTATACATCTTGTATTATGTGTTGGTGATGCTTGTAAATCCTTTACGATCAATGATATCAATGTAGATTCGGCCTCCTCATCATGGTTGCTCTGCTCCTGCATTGATAAATTTATTCTTACTATCCCGACAAGAAATGTAGACTTGGCCTCAAACAACTGAATTTTATATGTACTGATATAGTTTGAAATTATTAGAGAAAACTTACGGTTTCAACAGGAGGTGGTATGGTGGGAAGAATGGTATGCCTTGAAACGACTCTTGGATTAGTGGAGTTCACTACTTCTACCTGTGTAGAGAAGAGGGCAGAGACGGGCCGATGGTCAGAGAACTTACTCTCGCTACGGAAGTAGGAAAGCTGCGTCAACCCTTTTCCATACCATAGAATTCTATCACACCTGCCACCATAATCAAATTACCTATTTAATTTTTATGTACCAAAAGAAAGAAATTTATCTTCTTGTGATCTCATCCATTATTTTTGCAAAGCCATTTATATCAAGACTCACGGGAGGCATACTGGGGGTAGACAAATTAGTCTGTGCCTATCTCTTAGAACCTAGATCCAGGGCAGGGCCTCATGAATCCGTAAATTGTAACCTAAAAGAGTCCAAATACTCAATAGTTTTTAAGGAAGAGATTATAGCTATTGTGGTCATGTCTGGGTGAGAGAACTGAAAATCTAGCCTGGCTCTTACCATGCTGGAGTCCTTTGCTTCTCTCCTGATCTGCTTGGAACCCCACCGGAGTAGCGATTGCAATTTGATGAAGAATACTTGTAGGTAGGTGCAAATTCTATAGCTCCCTCCTCCCATCCCTGAAATACCCCACCATATTCTCGTTCCCTACGAAGCTGATCAAACTCTTGCAGTGCTCTCCAGTCTAGTTTCTTTATCAGCTGCCTGGCTGAATTGTCCTCCAAGTATAGCCTATAGTTGAGATCCCCGAACCAGAATATCCGACTGTTTCACAAAGAAAAATTAGCACGTTAAGGATGACTTCCTCCATTTTTTGATAATTTGACTCAATCTTCTTCCATTGTTTAATTATTGATCCTGAAATCTGGTTAGAGTTTTACAGATTCCTGAGAGTATTGAGTTTGATTATGTTGAATTCTAAATCTTGCAAATTTGTCCTCCTATCATTTTGAATTTCAGGAACTCATATAATTGTTGGGTTGAATAGTACTCATTAGCCAACCATTTTGTGTTCTTGTGTGATTAATTTTTTTTCACAAATGATGAAGTTTAAGAACCTTTTCTTGATTATTGCAATGATCAATGCTAAAAACCAATAACTGGAAAATTTTACTGCTACATTCTACTGGGAGAAACACGTACTCGTGTCCTAAGATGGTGAGAGGATGAGGGATATCAT